GCATTTTGCAAGAGGCAATGAGAGCGGGTATTGACTCATTTCGCGTAACTTCCACGGCTGTGCTCGAAACTTGCCAGCTGCGACCGAGAGCAGAGTCCAAACGTGCTCAATTCCTCGATCTCTCGTTGCATTGTTCGCAAATCGTCCGATCACATTTTCACGAGTTAAGCCTTTCCTTCTTTGTTTCAGAAAATTCCGCAATGTCAGCAGTAACGTTATCTCAAACAACTTTGCGTGTGACTGTAGAAAAAATACGCAACGATTAACGAGCAAATGCACGTGTGACGACTTGATTTTGTATTTTGTTGGAAGAGCAAAGGTCGATATTCTGTATGCAATTAAATCTCTGAAGATTATGCTTGACTACCGATAACCGCAAGTACGCGCATTATCATATCGAAATTGATTGATGAGCAAAGTAAGAAAAATTATATAAAGAGTATGAGCGTTTATGTCAAGCAAAACACAGAGATGGAAAAATAAGAAATGCTACGAGCGTAACGTGTTGTTAAAAGCGATGGTTAGTAATCGTTATTATTAGTAACTACTAAAATAGCAGTCTTTTTATCTACGTTACACACAAAGATAAGATAAGGAAGGAAACTTCAACTCTACTGTTTGCATCAGTAAAAACTCGCTGCGTCGATTTCTAAATGCGCATATGTTAATGTCAAAAACATTTCATATCTTGTACAACAGATGCGCTCTTCTCGTTTCTTTTTTTTTTTTTTTTTTACAAGGAAGATCGATGTGTGATTTGTTAACCTCGAACGCCACGAACAAGGGCTTAACCTACATTTTAACCGAGAGAATCAGGCAAACATGAAACAGGCAAAACAACGAAGTCTCCGTGTGTATTCTTCGAGCACGTGTGATCGCACAGATCGCTCCCGCGGCACCGATTTACAAAACGGCAATGACATTCCACGGCGTCGTAATTTTTCCAATCGGGTAACGTTTCAAATGTAGCCGCTAAGTCGAGGCCTTGGCTATAGGCAGAAGTTAGCTCAAGGACGACGACCGCCTGTCTATTCGAATTTCATCATGGTGTGAAGCTAAGCAGGTGAATGTCAGCCCCTTGCGCTTCATGCCCGTAATGAGACATATCTTTTAGGCACGAGGTGCTCGCTGGATAGACCTGACGCGGTTAAAAATAACGATTATGAAGAATATTATTAGAAAATGTGAAAAACAAATATACTGGTAGATGGCACCTGGTTAAAATTTTCGACATTCCGTACCGCCTTGATGAAAATAGATTAGATTGCGGATATTGATGCAAAGATGGACTTTATCAAAATCATTTCGTATTTAATTTACATTCATGGTAAGTGTTTCAGTTTCATTAACCAAATATATTCACAGTGTTTAACTAATTTAACGCAACAGACGATATTAGTAATTAAAAATTAAATAATTGTTTCCAGTTCTTTTATCCTATCATCTTACATAACTCTGTGCATGATATACATTGCAAAAATATCGTATGTCAAATTGTGATAACTCCTTACTTATTATTGTATATACCAGATGGTTGGATGCGAAAAAGAAATCATTAATCCATCTTCTTAATCCTGACAATGTGTGTTCACGATTAATCATGCAAAAATCATAATAGCAAGATAGAAAGCGGGATACTAGTAACCTAGCTTCCTTCTGTATCTTGGCCACTTGGTTACACAGGAGGCACCTGTATGCTTCAAAGTGGAGGAAACCACAGGTCGTGGAACGTCTGGCCATCCAGAAGGAGCAGGTTAAGGCACGAATATCCAACATATCAGATTGGTGAGTCATGCGTCTTGTTCGATATGTTCCGGCTACCCCGTTCACCGCCCACACGACCCTCTGTATGAGTCACCGACGATTCTTGGAAACGGAGCGCGCCACTCGTTTCAAATTTTCCTTGCCAAGTGACACCACTGCGGGCCCTTTTGAAAACAGTGCCCACAAAACCCAGCTTCTATAGATCCTGGTATTCGATTACTGTTTCATTTGCTCAGGAAGTTCTGCTCCAATGACACTGTCTATTACGAAATAAGGTCTACGCTTATCTATCGCCACCAACAGGGAACATGCGGTGAAATGACGTTGCAATAGTACCGCGAGTCAGTCAGGGATGAAATAATCGCAAAATAGTTATCGACTCATACAAAAAGTAGAAGAATGAAAGTAATCCTTGCTTTTAGAGTATGCGCACGATTTAAAACATTCCCGAACCATGACTAAGTTTATATTTTTATTCTTGAATTATTGTTAGCTATTTAACAATTGGTTAATATAAATAATATTTGATACTCCCTGATAAGTACATTTAAACTTAAATATTTTAACTTATAATGTTTGACATGTACTCAAGTGGTCATTATTATCCTAACTCTTACAATTGATTTTTGAGCAGAATTTCTTGTATAATTAAATTATTATCCATTTTTCTTATCCGTCAATAATCAACCAGATAAAATCCATTCATAATCGGTTATGTAGTAAAAACTATGAACTAACGACCAGTGCCCTGGTAAATAGAACCCATTGGTGGGAGGAACAGCGCCAGCCCTGGGTCGAGCGTCACGATCGTGGCGCGGCAAGCTCTGCGATTGGTTGCCTGGGAATAGCTAGTGACGTCATACACGTTCGTGGAGCCTTAGCAAGTAAAGAGAGTCGAGGTAGATCGTTGAGCTGAGGATTGAATGTGCGCGAACCTCAAGGTATTCCCCCACGGTATGAGTCATCGGGCGCAGTTTCACACAGTTTCGGGCAAAGGAACCTGCGCTCCGTGTGTGCTGTTTTCAAGTTCTGCATAACGAAGGATCGCGGGCATCCTTACACTCGGGGAAAGAAGACAGACCATTTTATAACAGAGGTTAACAAAACCTCTCGCGTTTCTGATTGTTAACTTTTCCTTTCGCGCCGAAGGGACACGCGAAAGTAGACACATACATCCCGTTGCGCCTCGACGACGCAAATATGAAGCTCGACGTATCGGATGTACTTTACGACAGCTCGAGCGTGTCCAGCGACAGCGGCACGTCACAGAGCTCCCGCGTCAGCCATGATTTTCTCTCCAGCATCGCGAACTCATCCATACTACCTAGCAACGTAAGTACCGGCCGAGTTTTTCTATCCTACATCGGTATAGAAAATGCCAGGTTCCCCGGAGAAAAGGCAGATTTCTCCGTGTAAATATGGCAACTTATGCAATCTTCGACGTGCACGCATGTGCATGTTATATGTGTATGCGTGCGCGTGTGTGTGTGTGCGCGCGCCGTACGTGCATCTGATAAACAGCGTTCACGTGATTGGTCGAATTTCTTTTGAAATAAATAGCCAAACAGTAAGAACACGGCGAATAAAAGTCTTCGCCAAACGCTGTTACGTAACGCGGCAACTTCCTCGAATGATTAAGCATTAGATATTCAAAATAATTCAAGCTCGTTGTCGATGATGGACTTGTCTGCTACCGAGAAAACGGCCTTGCTCGCATTTTCCAGGAACGCGATCGCGTGACTTGTCGAAAACTTGACAATTTCGAAAACAATTATCGCGTGCATTTCGCGCTCGAAATCGTTCACTTCGTGGAATAGATTGATTCGTCGTAAATCAAAAAGTAAACTGAACACCTATTATCAGCGTGATACATGTTCTGATTTTTAAGCTTGACTTTTCTTGGTAGAAGAAGATTCGATCTACGATCAACGATAAGAAAGCAAACTCGTATGATATCTTCGGTTGATAAAAATTTTTAATTAATTAGAGCGTGCTTGACAATGTTTAAACGGTGCTATAAGCCATTCCATCACACAAGGATGGTACACACATATGAGATCTAAATTTGTAATTTGCGTGGCGTCATCGCTCTAAACTGTTCGACGTAAAAACATGATTTTTGATTTTCGTAATTTCCGTCTGCCAGCCTGCAGCGGCGATAAGAATCGTCTCATAAATAGAACGCAGATGATATCCGTACGCGACGATAATATCAATTCTCATGTCTACTTAACGAAATAGCATATTTAGACGGTATCTTCTTATCTCAGGTAGCTAGATACCCATTTAAGGCATATTTTACGTGCATATCGCCAATTCTAGTTACTATAGAATTAACCAATGAAACATAGCTTTATATATTGTTATGACCCATTCATTGATCGCTATTACAATAAACGTAACTGAATTGTTTTGTCTTTTCACAAAATTGTATACTTTATACCTTTCGTTTGGTATAAAGTTAAAGAAACTCACGATTTTGAAATACGAAAGTTTTCAAATGATACTTGAATCTAGAAGTTCCTAGTATATTCATTCTTTCTTAAGAGAGTTAATTTAAATAGACGTAAAATAAATTACTCCGGCTAATTCTTTATTCAACGCTGGGCAAAACAGGTTCCAGCGTGAAAACGCAACGAACACATTGACGCAGAATGCTTTTATAGACACGGCGATTACGCTAATTTCCATTTTCTTTCACTTGCGTCATTCTTGGCAATAGAGGCGCGTATAAAAATTACACGCGTTTTCCACGTTACATAAAACATTCGTGTAAACAACAAGAAAAACTAAGTACAGTCTGGAGAAGCATGCACAATAAAACAAAGGTGGCGAAACGATAAAATCCTTAGATAGCGATAGCTTCTGTACGTTTCGTGCCCCCGAGTTTAGTCGAGGGTTGAACGTGCGCCCTCGGTCAGTTTCCCGTTTCACCCCAAGTATAAATTCTGTGGTAGACGATGGTATTGATCTAGCATTTCGACTAACATGGCTTCTGTTGTCCCCAACAGCTGTTTTATAAAGAACCCGTACACGCTCGGCTCGTAACAACGCGCGATCATTTAAAAACACGCGCGGCTGTATCGACGATCGCATACATGCACGTGCCCGGCCAATTGCAAACACACGTGTACATACGGGAAAGGAACAAGTATAGATCGTGGTGTATATTGCGCAGCATTAATGTTATGAACAGATAGCAGCCCAGCTGTTGTCACCTAATTATCTCTGTCGCCATTAACGGTAGGGTTCAGACAATGAAATCGACCGATAAAATGCAAATACTCACTGCGGAGGAACATTTGCAAACTCTGTCGAGAAACATACTACCGTGGAACGTGCGGAATATAATTCCACTTATGGGCTTGGGGGGGGGGGGGGGGGGGAGGCTTCCTCCTGCGTTGTTCCATAAGGGGTCGACGTATGCGGCGGCCATGTTGAAATATTAGTCGGAGAAAAAGAAATCTACGCAATTTATAGGGTATTGTGATTAAGACAAGAGAAAGTTTTGTTGTTTTGATTACAGAATTTTAATAGAATTTATCTTGTGTTCCTTGTTGGGTATTGTTCAAATTTGTCAGGCTAACACATGGGCGGCGACCATTTTTTCGGGCACTAGATTCAGAGAGAAAGTATCCGCCAGTGGCCTAGATAAATTCAACCAGTATATAGAATGCGTCATAATCTATTTTTTTCGATGTATTATTCCTTTATATTTATATATACTTACATATTTTATAAACGTAGAATACAATTTTTTTTTTTTTTAAAGACTGTTTATTGACAACTAAAGTTATGATATGACACTCGGCGATTAAAATTTCCTTCGAAAGAAGCCATAAAACGGTGAAATAGCCTCGTCCGGGGGATTATCCGCTATGAGCGCATCCAATTATTCTCAGAACTCTCGAAGCTTTCGATTAGCTGGTGGAACGTGATGCGCAAGATCGGCAGCAAAGTCACGGAGGTATAATCTTGTTTCCTGGTGTTTCTCTCGTTCGTTGTATCTCCTTTTATTACCTTTAAAGAATACTCGGCGTTCATGTTTTATCCTTAGTGAGAGTAAAAAGCACGCGGACACTTTGACGCGCATGCAGGAAGAAACAGAAGAATTCATTGATTCACGGCGGTACGTCTGATTATCTATTCCTCTTTGTTCCTTTAAACATTCAAAATGCCGCCGTTGTTTTTTGTGTTTTGAGTTTATCCTGTAAAAACGCCGATCAAGACTTCCGCCTTTCCCTCATATTATTTTCGGCGGCCATTGTTATGCCGTGCGCGCAGCTCGCGTCGACGTTTGGTTTACCCACAAACATTCGATTAACCCCGCTGCTCATTAAAATGTCTCTTTGTTCGCCGCGAGAACAAAGCCGCGATCCATTCGCGTCGTCGATCTTCGATTTTCTACTCCTTTGTGTCGTCGATGCCATAAGCGGGGTCGTCGATTCTTCGCGCTACGTGATTGACACGATTCATCGAGGATTTTCTTTAATCAGTTAATCGGGTTATCCCTTGATTAGAAGCTTCCGCAATTACAGATCTAAAAAACGACAGATACGAACGAATTTTAGTTAGACCGATATAAAAATAGATCTTTTAAAAAAAAGAAATCATTGTTCCCGAGGATCGAATGACTAATTGACGCGTCTTTGCCAGTTAACAAGTTAATTCTCATTTGAATGAAAGACCGAAGATTTTTCGTAATACGTGACTTGGTTACTTGACAGTCGATCATTCGCACGCTTTCAGCGCATGCGACCCTCGAGCGACAATTCAAAATCCAATGTACCGAAGTAAAAATTTCTACATAATTAGGGTGAATGTTAACATAGAACTGTGTTGTTTACTTAGTATTAGATTCGTAGTTTCCGCTGTATTGGGTAGTTTACGATGTCTTCGTAAAAACTTATTTCCCTTGATGCAATAAAGATTAGCTGCGCACGATGTTATGTGCGTCACACTTTGTTGCATTTCTTGTGCCGTAGATTTTTCACTAAAAGAGGGTCATAAATCTGCCAGGATTTGTGTTTTTCATCGATACGCCTTAAAGAGCCGATTATGGTTTAAGCGGATCGAAGGGCCGTGTTCGTCTTATTTGAACTCCTGACGTGGCATTACCTTTCAAACATACAAAACATGATCGTAAATTACAAGCCTGCCTCTCGTTACATGCTCGTTTGAACAATATTAATAGCATTCTTATTAAACATGGAATTTGTTGAAAGATAGTGAGAAATAGTCAGAGATTGAAAACGGTTTATATTCATTTAAAGCACAACTGTTTCAATACTTTAACCGTAATGGCAAAGTTTGACAAGTTTCAAGAACAGATTCTTATTTTTGTCCTCTTACCATATTTTATGAATATTTTTTATCAATACTAACGTTAACGTGATTCAAGAACTTATAAAATATTTGATGTAAAGGGAAAAAATACAACGGTAATAAAATTTTATGGACATGCCAACACGCCACGTTTCTGCAATAATCTTTATGACCTTTCTCCACGCATTTTGCACACGGTAGCTCTGGACACGCGTGTTATTCTTTTCCCTTTTCTCTCTTTTTAATTCTTGGACAAAGTGCGTTCACACGTACGTTGCACCGTACCGACGAAGTCGACTCGGATTCGTTGCACATGTTTGCGGCGAGTGCGAGCGAAACAAGAACAAAGAACCATACATGTACAAGGGAATTCCCGGTACCGAAATACATAGCGAGAGCGATGTGGTTTATGCGACAAATGATCTCGTACAAACTGTGTAACATCTGTGATAACTTCATTAATTTTTATTATCTCTATGTCTGAAATTGTAACAAAATCACGTGTAGTGCAAAATAGGAGAAGAAATAGCACTTGTGAAGAGCCTTGAGTTCATACAATATAGTTATAGAGCAAATCTCTCTCGAGTAATTCCTTCACATATTTCTATCGAGCTGTTACGCTTTGTATATTCCTTGCAAATTGTTTCCTGAAAGTGAGGCAATCGACCATAACAATAATCGTTTTCAATAAATTTTCGTATCCCATGTTTGAGAGGTTATGAAATAAAATAAAATATCTTACAATTGTAATGAGCTTGTAATTACCACAAGAGACTAAATGCCCTTTTCAAAAGTAGATCCATTCATTTCTCAACATGTAATTAGGGTTTCACAAAAATCACAAAATGATACATTAAAATATTACTATTATACGTTTGAATATTCTTTATTTGTCGTACAATTACACGATTGCTCAATGCGCATGCGCAGGCTGTTTGAAATATCGTAATACAACAACTTGTTAAGACTTTGAAATGCCCCTTTAAGCCTATATAAGCGTAAAGCAAAATCATGTAGTGGTCTTGACGTGAAAATCTCGCCGTTCGACTGTTCGTTTGCGAAATTATGTAAGTTTTGACGATCACACGTTGTTACTTGGAAAAGGGGTTCTAATTCTTAGTGATGCACTCTCCGATTCCGTGGAAATCGTCGCGATAGAGAGTAGACGGGACGCGTTGATTGGCCGCATGCTATCGTGCGAATCAGCAATCAAGATGGCGATGACGTCGCGCGGTAGTTGCTTGCTGATTGGTGGGGGTCGACCGACTGTCTTTCTATATAGTTTCGAAGTCACATTGGCGGGCTCAGTTGGGATACGTAAGCACGCGGGACACTAGCTTCAATACACAGCAATTCAGTGTAGCGTGGTTGAACTTGTAAGTATATTGCAGTGGCAGAAGGACAATCGGCGAGCATTCGTACGTGTCGCTTTTTATCGAACGACAGTGGTACTTCAAACGGGAAGTGTCATCGGTGATCGGAAAGTGAAGGTGCTATCGCTTGATGTTCTTGTTGAGGTTTTAACCTTTTTGGAGTCGGACCGGCGATTCATTTCTCCACTTTCTTTTTTCTCATGGTGAAGTTTTGAAAGCGAAACGCGCTCACAGATGACGCAACGTGTGCCAAGCGCAGGCTTTTACGATACCATCGTCGAAGACCATAATTACACCATGTTTTCCATGTACCCGCCAACCTCTAACATACCTGATTTGTGGCAGCCCAACAAATTGGACAATGCTACGGTAAGAAAATTGATTTTGTATCACTGAATTTATCTTTCATAGACGAAAGATTAAACCGTTAGAAGGGAACCTCTCACTTCCTAAATGTAACATCATAATATAAGGTTACTATTTAACGCATTTACGTCCAAGGGCATAAAAATATGATTTTTATCGACTGTTCGTCGAATGCCGGATACAACATCCCGGACGCAGATGTGTTAAATAAATTGTGAAACGAGGAAATATTTTCGTTACTAAACAACTGAATAAGTAATTTTGTGCTTCAGGCCAAAAAATTTACCTTTCTTTTTGATTTATGTTCTACGTTACCGTTCTACGTATATTGAATTACTAGAATAAAAATATTTTATGTAAATAAAACACGGGAGGACGTTTCAACACGTTGAATTGGTAGAAACGAGCATCGATTGTGTGTACGTTCGTTCAGGTGTCTCAGTCGAAGGTCAATCGATATTAGTCGAACTAGACCTATTTCTGCCATTACATCTAGTTGCCATTCACAATCTAGTTATTTCATGTTGATTATAGTCGGAAGTAGATTACTCTCATTTTTTTTACCGAACAATTTTTTTTTTTGCTTTTATTGTCACGTTATATTTTAAATTTTCCTCTTTTGAAGAGAAAGAAAACCTCTCTTTCTTTTATCAAGAGGAATTTCAATGCACAGTCGGGGAATAAAATGCTAATTAAAATTTAAGTAATGGTACGGTGATAATGCACAATTGGACTGATAATTGTGGACGTGCTGACAGTGACGTATGCGCTCGAAATTTCCGAGAAACATCGTTATCGCGTAACACGTAAAACATTGTTGTTGTCTTACTTGTCGAATTTCGTTTCTACTGCTTGTTAAAGAAAAATTTCTGTTCCTCAAAGTCGTAATATAATATATATAAGAATAGTGGTATTTGGTTTGATTTTATAGTCTTGTTTATTATAATGTTCAGTGAGTTTCTTTAATGATTTAATAGTAGATTTTAAAAAAATCTTAAAAGCGTGTACTTATTGTGAGCAATTATATAAATGAGTTTAAAAGCGTTTCTAATTCTCAGGTCAACTACATGGTCGTTAAGTTTCTCTGCCAATTTTTACAAACCTTCCCTAGACTATTAGCCGAAAATGACTTGAAGAAAACGTCCAAAACACCGATATATATTACACGACGAGTCGAGGCTTTCCATTTACGTGATCTTTTCAAGAATCAGTGTTTCAAACGATTATCAGACTGATCATTATCTCTGAAAGCTTTGCCGTGTACTATCTCCATTATTTAAATTATTATCTATTATTAATAACGTGATTTTTTAATTCACTCGAGCGTTTATTAATTTACAAAGCCGTAAACTAATGTTATTGAAAGATATTATTGTGCAATGTATCATTTATTCGGTGTTAGTTAACAATTACGATTACAGAAATATTTCGATATAAAGATACATAATTCTTCGACTTCTCAGAATATAATCTCTGAAATTGAAAAATGTTTAAGTAGCAGAAATTTCTTTAGAACACATAATCTGTGTAGGCGTGTAACATCTTTTGTCTCCAGCTTTCAGTTTTTTTTTTTTTTCTCTGTCCCCTGAAGAAAAGTCCCCGTTTCCCCGATAAAATTTCTTTGGCATTCTTTGTGCACATGACACCGAAGGAAAACAGTTAAATCTGACAGGAAGCCCGGAGTTAACGCTCGTTAACCCACCAATTAGAGGGTTTAGTTAAACGAAGGCAGGGTTAAGTTTAGCGAGAGCAGTATGAACGGGGGTCATAAGGCAAGAGGTGTCATCCTGCCTCTTAGCCTCGCAAGACGCTCGTTCCCTTCGTTATAATTCTTCATTACATGCACGCAACATGTTGTCTGCTCACCGTCGCGGGAAATACTAAAACTCGCATTCGATAGTAATCGAAGATAACGCTTATCTCCTTACTATTATCCACTTGGCTATTTCCTAGCTCTTTCGTAGTTCTTTCTTCTTACTTCCCTACCGACCAAGAATGCTTGATTTCAGCGTCCATTTCAAAATTCTCTGACGTATTCTTCAACGTAGACCAACGTTCGGTGTTGGTAACTATTACTACTGGTGTGACCAAAAATAATTCTCGTTATCGGCAGCGATTACTTAATGACTTGTGGCTCTAAAACATGTTCAAATTGCGAACTCTAATAAAAACAGAAAGAGAGAGAAAGAGAGAAAAAAAGAATTGAAAACGTTGAAACGTTTGTTTGCTTCGAATTTTAATGACCTATGTACCTGCGTAATATTTTTTGTTGTTGATAACAAAGATAAATGACGATCAAACTTATTTTATGTAAATTTATTTCACTATATTCTCCATTCGATTCGTGACGGTGGAGAAGAAAAAGAATTCGATTGTTCGTCGACGAGAAGAGACGAACCAACGCCCATACAGGGATATTTGCATGAAAATACATAGAAAAAAAAGAAAAACGGAACTTGTAGGTTTTTTTTTTTTTTATTTTCGGTCGGCTTACCTCAGTTCCGCGGAGTGTATACGCGATGATGAGTCATCGGGGCCTCGCGTAGTTTAACCAGCGATTTATGAATGAAAATCCGCGCACGTGTCGCGTGCCTGGCTCCCAGTGCCGCGACACGCGAGATCGTCCGCCATTATTATTCGCGCCGCCTCGTAAACACGTCGATTATGCCGCGTTACTACCGCGAGACATCATCCGGTACCAGGAAAAACGTTTAGAGACGCGTTTTCTCGCGATACGATCCCGTGCCTCTGTCGCGACACTTCCAACTAAGCAGACTCGTTCCTTTCCCCTCTTCCTTCGAGTTACTTCTCAGTATCGCCAGCAATTATTACTGGACTCTCCACTGGGTTCTAGTAATACCGGGAAAATCGAATCCGGTATTAGTAGAATAGAATAATAATAAATTAAATAAACAATTTTAATATATTTATATATATTTTTAATATTGTAATATATATTTTAACATATATATATTTTTAATATTGTAATATATATATATTTTAACATATATATTTTTTTAATATTTTAATATGTATATATATATATATATATATATATATATATATATATAATTTTGAATTAATATAATTAAATAAAGTTTTGTAATGAAAATGTATTTCAGTAACAATTAAAAAATTAATAATATTATTAATAGTTCAAAGTTTAATGAAAATGAATTTTTTAAAAAATAAATAGGCAAAATTTATTTTGTACCTTTTGTATCGTGGTTAATTAATTTATTTTGATAATTCTAATTATCTCGAGAATAAATGATCTAAATGTATATTTATAAATGTATATTTAGTTCGTCGTATTTATTGATATCTTTTTAAGTTTTTTTTAAAATAAATCTAATTTATTTAAACCGTTTGGTTTCGAAATTGGTAATATTAAGAGACTATTTCGCCAGCACTCACTCGGGGACAAATGATTCACGTAGTTTTATTCGTACGATTTTACATTCGCATCAGTAAAATTTTTCTGTAATTTTTTATCTTTCTTTTTTTCAACTTTTTATTCGTGATAATGAGATCATTCAGCGTCTACTTAAAACTTCAACAGTCTCCTCTGTATGAATCTTGGTTTTATAGTGGAAAAATTATTTAGAATCGCCATCTCCCGTAAAGGAATATGATGAAAGTATATCCAGGAATCTCCATTTAGAGCGTACAGAAACGTTCGCAGTCGATTAATCAGAAAGGGAGAGAAGGAAACACGCGGCAACATCCCATGTCGTATATTACAAAACTTTCGACAGATATCGCCACCTTAGGTAAAATTAAGAGATAAAAGGAATCGCAATCGTGGAAGAAATGTTTGCCATTGCGAAACCATCGCGTTTAATGCGCCGCGCAGAAAGATTCGTTTCGCAATAGAAATCCAGCGTATTGTGGAAACAAATTATTCGAGCCTCGCGTCGAAGGAACGAAACTACGAACGTTCGTAAACTATGTACAATTTCCACGATCGTACGATTCTGTTTTATTATCCTTCTATCTCTCCCCCCCCCCCCTCCACCGTTTTCTTTCTTTTTTTTTTTTATTATTTTTGTTCACGTGGTAATCCGGTGTAGCCGACCTCGAAAGGAGGTCGATTCCACGGAAAGATATCTTGCGTACTAGTGACGTCAATACGTTAACACTTTCCCTTCGAGAATGCTTTGAACGTGGCTGTTCGTGGATCTTCACGATTCCAACGATTCCGTCTATTATCCATCTACCTGTCTGAAGTTTTTTCCCAGATAGTTCTCGATCTCGATTTCGATTTTGATTTCTTGCGTCGTATATTTCCTTTACAGAGTACGTCAGCGGGGTTTTTTTCTCTCTCTTTCTCTCTTTCGGACGTTGATCGACGAGTGGAAGAACATTAGCTGACTAAGGTGGAAATGCTTCGACGTCACTTTCTAAGACCTCGCAATTACGATCGGAGCTTTACTTTTATTTCTCTGTTTTGAAAGTCGAGCGTTTGCTTTTACGGAAATTTCTTTTATTTCATTTCGTTGGAACAACGCGTCTCTGTTCCGAGATGAAGCGAGTACGTCTCTGCGCTCGAATGATAATGTTTTCTCAGTTTAATAAAGTTCTAAGTTAAATCTAAGTTAAATCAGTTTGATAAAGTTCTAAGTTAAATCTTTTCTCAGTTTAATAAAGTTCTAAGTTAAATCTAAGTTAAATCAGTTTGATAAAGTTCTAAGTTAAATCTTTTCTCAGTTTAATAAAGTTCTAAGTTAAATCTAAGTTAAATCAGTTTAATAAAGTTCTAAATTAAATCTAAGTTAAATCTTTTCTCAGTTTAATAAAGTTCTAAGTTAAATCAGTTTAATAAAGTTCTAAGTTAAATCTAAGTTAAATCTTTTCTCAGTTTAATAAAGTTCTAAGTTAAATCTAAGTTAAATCTTTTCTCAGTTTAATAACGTTCTAAGTTAAATCTAAGTTAAATCTTTTCTCAGTTTAATAAAGTTCTAAGTTAAATCTAAGTTAAATCTTTTCTCAGCTTAATAAATTTCTAAGTTAAATCTAAGTTAAATCCAAGTTTAATAAATTTATTACTTCTTAGCAATTTCTATCCGGTGATATCGTACTGACGAGGTCCAAAAAGAAAAACAACGAATTATTTGTAACATACGGTTTGGTCACTCGTTATGGTCCGTGCACCAGTTACTAACGCAAGAGGTTAACGCTAGAATTACCAGAGTGATCGAAACGATCAATTTATAATTTTTGTTAGACATAAAAGGTTTCAATAATTTTTCGTAATATCAGTATACTCCATTGTATTATAAGGTTTCTTTTTTTTTTTTTTTTTGTCCTCAATGTCTCCGATGGAGATTTTTTTACGCTTCAAACTCGCCGGTAGTTCTAGTGTTGTAATATTCAAGACTCGTTGCTATAATTTCTATGCGACACGTACATATATCTCACTCGTGAACGCAGTGTCCGATTGTGTCAAGGGGACGTGTTTAACAATACCGAATCACATCGTTTCATTCTTTCGTTCCAAATCATCGTGACAAACTTCACCTTCGTCACTCTGTTTTAACACTCCTCCAAGTCTGATATCGTTCGAGGAACTGACACGCCATGTCGTCTCCATCGCCGAAAGGAGTCCACCGATTTACGCTCGCTGTTCCATTGTTTCGACATCAAGATCCGTCCGGTCCGTCAAATATTTAACATTTAACGTACGACTGATTTCCGTCGCCACGGAAGAATCGATCCACGAAACGTCTCACGAACGAAACGAAACGAAACGAACACGTGCACTCGTCTCGAAATTGATTTTTATCCGCGTGCCACGGAGAAAGAAACGAAATCTCCTTGTTTTTTTATTCGGGGCTGCATTCTTCGTAGACGAAAGAATCGGGGCCTGTTACTAACAATATGCTTCTCGCACGCTTAGGAGTTTGTAATTCGTGAGAGACGTTCGCCTTCGTCTTCTCCCCGTCTGATGGTATGATAAAGTGGTCCCACCTATTCAGAGGGTGACGCTCGCCCTTATGAAAGGCTGCCTCGTTTAAAAGGTCATGGAACCCTGGCCAGCCCTTTTGGGACTCTGCTGACACGTGGGACGAACGTGTATCCAATTTCATGATGGTCCGGGGACTTGCTGGGGACGAACGTGGGTGCCTTTGAATACGGCACCATACCGAGTAGTTCATTATGGGTTAATGTGTGGTTTCGAGTCAAACATTCTAGCTTAAATGGAGTTTAGTTCTCAGTGGAATTAGGCTGAACAAGAATTGTTTGATTTGTTAAACGAAGCTTTTCGTAGGTCGTCGTTCATTTAAACTGCACAACTTTTGGCAAAGTTCTGTCGTTCCTTTCATTCAGGCTTCAATTCAAAATTGACATGAACAAGAATTGTTTGAACAGAGACAGAGCCGAACGTGTAGTTTTTATGGTTATATAAATTATAGTTTTTTCACGTGTATTAATTTATATATTAATATGAACATATTTATATTAATTATTACCAATTAATATTATTATAATTTATATTAATATTAATATATAAAATATTTATATAAACTGATTAATATTAATATATAAACCTATTTATATTATACTGATTAATATTATTATAATTTATATTAATATTAATATATAAACATATTTATAGTAATTGATATTATTATAATTTATATTATATAAATAAAATTATATTATATTAATATTATTATAATTTATAATATATAAATTATAATATATCAATATATAAACATATTTTTTTATATTAATAAAAATCAATATTTTTCAGACTCCACACCGACTAAACGATAAAATATTGTAAGTGTCGGCTAAACAGATAATAAAAGTGTCAGTCCGTAGGGACTGACACCGTCTCGAACCCTGTTGATTGTGATTTCCGTTTAACTGTAAAATTTTTCATCAAATTCGCTTCCTTCGTTTCTTTAATTCAGGCTTGAGCTCAGAAATTTAGACCAAGTTCTCATAGTCACCGTGACTTTGCAGAAAAAAAGTTGCCGAGTAAAATGAACCACGTTCCGCCGCGGGAGAATCCGCGAGGCAAACGAAACTGCAAGCGTAACCCATTAGAAGCAATTGCGTTGTTCTTTGTTCCCGTGGAAAAACGCGGTGTCGCGTGAGAAGGTCGATCGAGAGAGCTGAGAAAAGTGGAACGGTTTAAATGGGAGGAGGACAGGAAAAGAGTCGAGCGCGTGGAGCTCCACGGAGGTAGGCCTCTCGCCCCCTCTTCGCGCATTATGCGCGCGATTATGTAGGTATTCTCATCGGAGAACACGTTGCCGAAGTGCAACCAGTCGGAAATGCCTGAGCAATTGCGTCACTGGTCAGGAATTCACGGACCGTTCTGCCCTCCGAGCGTTTTCTTTTACACTCGTGTTCCTTTTTTTTTTTTTTCTTCCTTTCTTCCTTTCTTTTCCTTTTCTCCCCTCCCCCCTTCTTCTTCTTACGGCCGTCATCGACCTCATCGTGCTTTGCTCACCGTCCTTCGTCCTTAACGTCCTCGCGACGTGCACGCGCGTTACTTCACTCCATTTACATGTACCGTTCCTCGAGTTCGTGTACATGTAAGTGGCTGGCGAATTAGCGCGTCGAGAGGGGTGGCCATTTTGTACAAGTGGTTTTAGAGGACCGGGCGTTCGCCTCATCCCTTCCTTGCCTTTCTTTCGTAGCTCGATGAGAAACGATGATTTTTCAATCACTTCAACCACTTGACGCTGGGGGCAACTGATTTGCGGACCGTAACGAGCGACCAAGCTCGTATACAATAATTCGTCGCTTTCTTTTTGAACTCGTCGATACGATATCACTGGACAGAAATTACTGAGAAGTAATAAATTTATCATTTCGTTTCTGCCAATTTTTTTTGTTTCCACTTAAATGAGAGAATATCGCGATTTTGGAACAAAAGAATTCTCGACATGCGTGGCGCAAGAGGTTAATTAATTCCTCTACTTCGAATTTCTTTCGCTAAATAATAAAAGAGTAATAGTTGTACACAAAAGTATGTATAAAATATTCAGAGAAGAGTAATAATTATAATATAATGTAAAGCAACAATTATAATAGAATAACAAAGAAGAATAATATTATAATATAATATAGAGTAATAATTATAATTGTAATAGCACGTAGAAGAAACAATTTGAATTCTATTTCTTTAATTATGTTTGAATTCAATTCTTTAATTATACTTCGTATTTCTGTAATTATATTTAAATTCAATTCTATTTGAATTCTATTTCTTTAATTATATTTATGATTACATGTTATGATTACATTTATATCATAAATATTTAAAAATGTATTATTTACACATTTATCTAAAATGTGTTGTTTTAATTTCAAAAGACACTTTTTCGATCTCAACAAGCACGTTCTTCCTGTTTCTTTTCGTTGTTTAGAGCTCTCGAAAGCTGCTCGAAGCTCAGAGCTAGTGTTCCAATTTGCTTTTCGAATTTTTCTCGCAAATTTAGACAAGCGCCAGAATTTTTAATTGCTCGCACTCGCTGTTTGAAAATCGAATTAATAAGAAAGCTCGTGTTACGATCGAGTGACCTTGCGAACGATTATCTCGCGTGATCACCGACCACTTTCCTGCCAAGTCATTCAAAACATTGTACTTTGATTCGACGACTAGATCGACGCGATCCGATAACACACGTGCGGGGCAGTTACGTCGAGTTCGGTGAATCGACAAAACTCGACGGAAATTTCAATTCAGGCGAGACTACGTCGTGAGACAAATACCGCGAAGGTCATGACAGAAATTCGATGTTTCGCCAAGGTTCTCCAGAGACAATTGCATGTTTTCTCCGCAGTTGTAGAAAATTACGCGTCGATGAAATTCGAGTCGACCTTCTTGCGCTGGAATAACGTGCCACGCACGTCGAGAATCTTTCGCCCCAAATTGCAACGTCTTCTCAGTTTTTATGCATATTTAAATGTAACCCAGGCAAAACAAATGATAAGTTCGTTACTTCTTAATAATTTCGATCCAGTGATAATCACACCGACCAAGTTCAAAAGAAAAATAAAGCGACGAGTTATCGTATACGGGTTTGGTCACTCGTTATGGTCCGCGCAAGGGGTTAATCTCGGCGGAAAGTAGGCGATTAAACGCCCTCGGGGAGGTTAGATTGTCAGATCGCGGATAAAATAAAATAATGTTAAATTTATAGAAAAAAAAATTATATATTAATAATATTAATAATAAACAATAATTCTTTAAATTAATAAAATTTAAATTTATAACAATAATTCTAAAAATTAAAATTATCATAATAATTAATCCATTAGAATAATAATTTAAACTAAAATTAAAAAAAATTATTCTTCAATTTAATATATTAAAATTAAAAAAAGAAAAATTAATTATAAATATAATTAAATAAGTTAAATTTCTTTTAAAAAAATAAATTACTATTATTAAATAAATTATAAAAATTAATTCAATCATTTCAAAATATTAAATTTGAAAATTTTATTTTTTGATGACCAAATTCATAATTTATACTAATTGATGATAATAATCCTAAAATTCTTTCACATACTATAAATATTAAAAATATAAAAAAATAATCATTATATATATATATATAAAATAAATATATATATAATTATATATAAAATATAATTATATATATATATATATAAAAATTCTATTGTAATTAAAAATCTTAAATAATAATAACTTTTAATAAATATAATTATTACGCATCGCGAGAGATCGATCACGAGAACGGTACCTAACCCCTCCTGTTTAGTCTGAGTTTATCCTTCGCGACAAATTGTTCGATATTACGAGAAACATTGTGCGTTGAATATTGGGACGTTTTCTTCTAGAATTCAACTCTAGAACTCCCTCTTACAGAGGGGGAAAAAAAAAAAATTATAAAAGTAACAATTTTTAACCAGAGGACAGAACTGACCTGTGAGAAGCGCGCGTCTCTAAGAGCGATTTTCATCTGAACAATAAGAGCACGAACGAAGGATCGTGACGTACCGGGAATTTCCAAAATTATCCCGGGAAAGTCCAGCCTCGTTCGTGTCGTTCACCTCGTGAACGTGAACCCCACGCTCTCGAGGGGAGAGGGGAGGGGGAGAGTCATCGTGTGGCCTCTCGCCTTTGTTTCGAGTTCGGTGCTAAAAACGGCCGGTGCACAGGCCACTTTCTGCTTATCTGCGTCGTTTTATCGGTCCACTGACAGGTCCTGCTCAACTGCCTGCTTTCAGCCGCGTTACGAACGTGATTTATTTCGTTTTGTGAGGGAAGAAGGGAAGCCTCGTGGCGTTTCTCGTGTTCTCACAGTGTATCCGTACTTTGTCCGTACTTTCCACTTACGAAGCTCTGTCGAGTCACGCTGGCTCGAGTCGGCTCGAATTTCCGAAGAAACCGTTTGGAAAGAGATTAGAAGGTGCGCGTAATTCTATGTAGATATACGTTCTTTGCTACGCGAGCGAATTGCTGTCGAACGGCGAGGGGCTCGGATGTGTTCGTTTGAGAAACGACGGTAAGAGAGGGTGCGCGTTTTACTCGTGGAAAAGGCGGCGTGCGACCAACAACGAGGCACTGTTCTCAATGGTAATCGTTAATCGAGACTCAGGAAAGGCCAGACTTCAATTAAGAGCCCTAGATACGGTCTGAGAAGAGATGTTCATGGCTGCTTAAACGAGACCTCAAAGAAGGGAATGCTTACAGTTTATATTTTAAATTAGAAATGTAAATCTGTCGCTAGATTGTTTGTTATCTGGATGAAGAAAGAAATAGTGAAGATCTAGATAAATGTATACACACATATATATCTTTCATTATTTCTTCTTTTACCTAGATAACAATTTAGTGAAAGGTTTTTACATCTCTCTAGTGAAAGGTTCTAATATATATAATACATATATGTGTATATTATAACATAATATATATATGTAGTTTATATCTCTAACATATATATAATGTAGCGAAAATCTAGATAACAATACACACACACACACACATGTGTGTTTCACTATTTCTTCTTTTACCTAAATAACAATTTAGTGAAAGGTTTACAACTCTCTAGTGAAAGGTTATAATATATAATATGTGTATATTATATTATACATAATATATATACGTAGTGAAAATTTAGGTAACAGTATATACATATATCTTTCACTATTTCTTCTTTCATCTAGATAACAAGTGAAAGGTTTACATCTCTAACATACAGGTATAGTGAAAATCTAGATAACAATCTAGTGAAATGTTTACATCTATAGTATATATATATATATATATATATATACATACACAGATTCTTGGAAGTTTCGCGTGACAACGTAAATTTACCAAAAGATTGCAAATCAGACATCACATAATGTCTCGTCTCTTTTACAAAGAGACAACGATATTCTACGAAGGTTTACCATTTCGAAAACCATCCACCAACTGTACCAACAAGATAACCGAGCGAAGAGACCGACCTTGGGAACGAATAATCCCTTCTTTCTAACGTAAAACGCGAGTGACCCAAAAACGGATATGACCGATATATCTGTACGTTTCGAAATAATCTAGTCTAAGGACGTAATCTCGAACACTTTGCACGGACTCCTTTGGTCTCTACTCATCAGTGAAAACGCTCGAAACACGTTGTTGTTTGCGCAACCACGATGGATACCAGGAAGAAAAATCGTATTTCGTGCTTCGGTGAAATTTCTCGGAACGGTGTCGCGTCACGTGTCCATCGAGCGGGACTTTGAGAGCGTATCGGAGAATATCGGCGGCGAAAAATGGTGTAACGGTCCCAGAAACGAAACGATAAAAAGTCGAGCCGTATTAGATACATGTATTCTCTCATGTACTATCCGAGGCGGAATAAGAACCGTACGAACCGGAAAGAGGCTGCATGACGCAACGGACACGTGCTCGATTTCGATTTTCCTAGTACGATGATTCTGTAACTTGGCGGTGCGCGCTATCGAATCCCCGTGAGTCACTCGCTGTTGGCGCCTATTTAGTAATCAGATGCCCGCGGACATTGTTCACAGACAGAGAAGCGCGTATACGTGCTCGATGCATTCGCGTAAATCCCCCGGGCATGTTCGTTCGCCGCCGCGCGCGCGGTGTATCGATCACGATCGATCGCGGAGATCTTTTTCCAGCATGACGAAACCAGAGCCACGTGACCTGAAAGCGACAGCCGTTCGACAGCGTTCCTTTTGCGCCGTTCGGAAAAAAAAAATTCCCGAGATTTCCGGCCTCGATAGCGACCGACTCTTTTGATAAGTGCAATCTCGCGATTGCGATACGTACGCTATCGTTTACCGAGAAACAAAGTCTTGAGAATTGCGGGCCTGTCCAATTCCTTTTCGATCTTCTGGGCCTTTTTTGACCAACTGGAAAATTTGTCGAATGGCCGAACATAGTTTTTTTTTTTTTTTTTTTTTTTTTT